GGTCTATCAGCGTGTTACAGTGAGGGGTGTGAGGTCTATCAGCGTGTTACAGTGAGGGGTGTGGGATATATCAGTGTGTCACAGTGAGGGGTGTGGGGTCTATCAGTGTGTCACAGTGGGGGGTGTGGGGTCTATCGGAGTGTTACAGTGAGGGGTGTGGGGTATATCAGTGTGTCACAGTGGGGGGTGTGGGGTATATCAGAGTGTCACAGTGAGGGGTGTGGGATCTATCAGTGTGTCACAGTGAGGGGTGTGGGGTATATCAGTGTGTCACAGTGAGGGGTGTGGGGTATATCAGAGTGTTACAGTGAGGGATGTGCGGTATATCTGTGTGTCACAGTGAGGGGTGTGGGGTCTATCAGTGTGTCACAGTGGGGGGTGTGGGGTCTATCAGAGTGTTACAGTGAGGGGTGTGGGGTATATCAGTGTGTCACAGTGGGGGGTGTGGGGTCTATCAGTGTGTTACAGTGAGGGGTGTGGGGTCTATCAGAGTGTTACAGTGAGGGGCTCGTTGCCTGCTCCTGCTGGTTGCCATCTCGGTTGCTGAGTTACTTACGTTTTGGTTGCTTGTGCCTCCTGGTGCATAATCTCCAGGATCATCTTACATGCTGCTGAGCAGCCCTCAGCTGTTGAGTGAATGCTGATTGGCTTCTCTGCTGCTCCCGCATTCTCCTTCCGATGGACATCAATCCTGAAGAAAGACAGATGATGTATTATCACTTTTTTCTCTTCCTCTGTCTTGCTTTCTGACATGGCTGTTTTCTCTTTTTCTCTCCTGCTAATTCTGTTTTTTTTTCAACAGTCACTTATCCATTTATCACCCCTCTGCCTCTTCACTGCCCTATATACATTCTCATCTCTCTTTACAACCATTTCTCTTCCATTCCCTTCCTTTCTGTCTCACTATTTTCTCCTACCTTCTTTTTGCTTCCAACTCCCAACCAAACTTTGCCTCTATATTTTGAATTCTCGATACCCATTCTTCACTACATATGACCACTGGAAGTGAGATTAATGAGTTACTCCAGTCTTTTCCAGTTCTGTCCTGCTCTCTTTTTTCCAGCACTCCTTAACTGTATGCACTTTGATCAGAAACAATGGTGTATAGCATTCACAAATAGATCATCACTCATTAGTAATACTAAGAGAGTGACAGGAGTCGGACATGAAGCTCCTAGGGATCCTACCATTTGTTCACAGCTGGGTCTGTACCTCAACTCTGCTCTCTATCCTTTGCTCTTTATCCCTTAATATCAGCACTAATAAAAACAAAAATGTCTCAGGTTCATGTGCCATCATTTCCCAGGTAAGTGATCATCACATCTGCATAGGATTGGTTAAAATTGGTTATGATATTCTGACAGCAGCAGAATAAGGGCTGTGATGGGAGACTCACATTCCTGTACGTGCTGAAGATCGCACAATCAAGTTGCTCTTCTGTACTTGCAGCTCGTTACACTGTATAAGAGAGAGAGTTTAGTTCTAAATCGTTGGACTTCTCCTCAGACTGGGATCGCGAATGGTGCCAGGAACAAACATTAGCCTCCAGACCAGCCGTCAATCGAGGAGTCCCCAATGGGCAGAAGGGCATGAGACTTGTTTTCTTCCCTTTCTTTTACATTTTTTATTTACTTAATAAATGCTCAGATTAAAGTAAATTTATGTTGTCAAGTCTTAACTACATTTAACCGAATCGGAAGAACCATTTGGATACACTTTGTGATCCAAAACATGTTTGGTGTAGTTGGCAGGATTCAGGAAAATGTTTAAGAGAAGGAAAAAGCAACCCAACGCTCCAGAGACCTTCTGTATTCCAGAATGGAATGCGGCAGACTCTGGATTCGGGTCTGTAGCTAATATGTTGGCACAATTAGGACCCCTGAAAGAATGGGGGACAGTCATAACCGGGAAAAAAAGAGAAAGGAGGGTTATTCATACAGGCTGTCGTACATGAGTGATTGTGGGAAGCAGACTTCCACAGAAGCATGGACAGTATACCGCAAATGGGATGGATATTGTTCGGAGCTTTGCGTTCCACATGTAGGGAATTGGAAGAGCGCCAGGCCAGATACAGGCAGCTTGAGGCCACATTGATGGCAGTAGAACAGCAAAACATCACCCTAACAGAAGCAGTTAAGACAGCGCAGGAGAGAGCTGAGAAGGTAGAGGATAAACAGAACCAAATAGTATGCTGTCTGGCAACAGTGCCACAGAAAAAGAGAGCAAAATGGCGCAATTGTAAAGTTTACCTGGTCAAAGTGCGCGCATTATTAACCTCACAATGGGACCTCAACCATTGGAATGGAGATATTTGGTATTCACCTTATTCGGAGTCTGAATGGACAGACGGGAAGGGGATACTCCACCTCCAAAGCTATCCTCAGAGTAGATATTCACAGCGTATCCCCTAATAACAAATAAGGCAAAACAGGTAGGAGCACAGAACCCACAAAATGCAAGAATAGTGAGAGATTACTCTATGTCAGAATTGAAGGACTTGGGGTCACGCTTTAAACAGAATTCGGGTGAACTCTTGACTGACACGGTCATGGGATCAGGGCACTGCCCATATCACACCGATTGCCACAGAGTGAGGGAATCTGGGAGCATTAAGTGCTGATCCACATGTGAATAGCGTTTTTAGAAACATAGGGCCAACTGGATCAGTGTAGAATGCACTGATACTAGCAGTAGGATCCAAGTATCCTTCCCTGATAGATTGGGAAGGTGAACTTGAAAAATGGTAAGGCATAACAGAAGATATAAAACATTTAAGGGATTTGACAACACAAGCCAGTAAGTATTCTCAACAGGTTCAGGGTCCAGACCAGGAAACTTTTACAGCTGGAATGAGGAGCCAGCTAATGTGAAGTGGTCTGGGTTGGTGCCCTATTAGGGCCAGCCCAGGGACAGGCAGTGGGAAAGGTATGTTTGATGTGAGGACACTTGGAGGACGTGGAGGTTGGTAAGCGAAGAGTGAGGGTAAGATAAGACGGGACACACACGGGTACCATGTACAGTACGTGGAAGATGCACTGCTCCCCAAAGAATAAGGAAATAAAAGAGACTAAATCAAATGTCGAGGGACAAAAGGAAACCACACTGACTGTGTCTCCCACAACATCACTAAACCCTAGCATGGACGAGGTCAGGCAGTTGTAGCAAGCCTGTCAACCAATTAGTTAGGGGTGGGGCCTGGACTCCGGGGTCTGTGTAAAGGCTTTTGGTGGGACAACTGGAGACCCAAGGCCTCATATCCCTATCACCGTTTATTGGAGGAAAGGCAATGTACAATGAGATATTGCATTATTAGACACTGGGGCAGAAGTTACTATTGTATGTGGCAATCCACATAGACATGTTGTGTTCAAAATGACTATTAATGGATTTGGTGGGGCGGTAACACTGGCAATTAGAACAAATATTACAATAGCCTTGGGGAATGGACACCCACGAGTAGTCCCGGTATTGATATCCAAAGTACTAGAAAATATTATTGGTATGGGCTTATTAAAAGGTACCACCTTGCAAACCCCACTGAGCAAATTCTCTTTTGGTATATGAGTTGTGATGGTTACTGCTGGCAAGGCAAAATGGGAGCCACTCATTATTCCCCCACCCACACCAGTGGTTTCGATGAAACAGTATCGTATTCCGGGAGGACACAAAGAAATTGGGGATACCGACAGGGAATGTTAGCCGCAGGGATTGCGACATGCAGTATCTGTGTACAATAGCCCTGTATGGCCTATAAAAAAGCCTGATGGAAGTTGGTGAATGACGGTTGATTACTACGAACTCAATAAATATGCTCCTCCGCTGTCAGTGGCAGTGCCTGATGTGGTCACTGTTATAGAAAGTTTGTCTTAGGGGCCAGACACCTGGTAGTGTATGCTGTTATTGACCTAGCAAATGCCTTTTTCTCAATACCGATAGCCCTGGAATCACAAGCTCAGTTTGCTTTTACGTGGGAAGGTTGCCAATATACCTTCTGTCGGCTACCACAAGGATACCTACACAGCCCAACCTTATGCCATGGGTTAGTAGCAAAGGACTTGGATATGTGTCCGTTGCTACTGGAAGTTCGGGTAGCACATTCTAATGATGACATCTTGATCCGTGGACCAGTGGAAACTGCACTGGTGGAAGCTGTAGCCACACTGGTACAACATATGCGAGACAGAGGCTGGGAAGTGAGCCCGAGAAAGATACATGGACCCGCACAATTTAGGCATTCAGTGGACAAGAGGGGATAGAGTCATCCTTGAAAAAGTAAAGAATAAAATACAAGAAATGGCTGTTCCAACCAGCAAGACTAAGGCACAGAAATGTATAGGTCTGCTCAGATAATGGCGCAGACACATACCTCATTTGACCACGTTACTAAGACCTCTAGTTGCCATTTCCCAAAAGAAAGCTCAGTTTGAATGGGGCAATGAACAGCAGAAAGCATTTATGGCCACTAAGGAAGCTGTATCACTAGCAGTTCCCCTGGCCCCTCGGATACCTGGCTTACCCTTTGAATTACAAGTATCAGTCATACAAGATGTAGTCACATGGAGCTTATGGCAGACACAAAAGGGGAAAGCAATACCTTTGGGCTCCTGGTCAGAAAAACTGACTGAGGCAGCTACATGTTACACACCATTTGAAAAGCAACTTCTGGCCTGCTACTGGGCCCTAGTAGAAACTGAAGGGCAGATGGGCAAGGACAAAGTGCTCCTCAGACCTGAATTACCAATTCTGATAGTGGGTGTTATCTGTTAAGGGCCTAGACCAGTTGATATCCTACTATGGTGAGCCATCAGAAATTAGATAACGGCTCACACTTTACAGGTCAATAGATGCAGCAATGGGCTGCAGATAATGGGATACATTGGATGTTCCACATTTCCTGTTATCCTCAAGGGCAGGCCTTGTAGAACGAATGAATGGGTTATTAAAACAACAAATTAAATTACTAACCTCTGATCATATGTTACAGGGGTGGCTCAAAGTGTTGTCGCAGGCATTGTAGAATCTGAATAATTAGCCTCCGAAAGGAGGGACACCCATGAATAGAATGTTTGAAGGAAGTGGCCAGTTACATCCTCCTTGTAAACTACAACATTCGATGGCCTTTGTACGGGGCGGGGGGTGGGGGGGTAGGGGGAAGGTGTGGGTGCACGGCCCACAACACCTGCCTAAGCCTGGTGAGATAGCTGCCCATGGACAAAGTGACACCGATTTGATTAGATATTGCTAATGGGACAGGAAGTACGAGAGTGTATAAACAGGGGGAAGTTAACAAAAAGGGAGCGAGTTGTCAAAGATTGTAAACTGATAAAACTTGATTTTTTTCACAGAACCTTCCACCAAATGTCAACTTGACTTGGTTGTAACAATTTCTCCATGAAAATACCTGTATTAGTCAGGAATCAGCAACAAGGGGATGAAATATACATCGAATGAAAGTCACCATGTCATATGAGGATAGGCAGTTAAAACGACTTGCTAATTCCATCACAGCCTTGACTATACGTCACTGGTGGGATATATTTAAGGATTGGTCACCAAAAGCCACTGTGATCATTAATTTGATGATACACCCTAATGTTGTATTATTTGTATTGCTATTGGTTATTTTCATTGTAGTTTTACTTTTCTGGTGTAGGTTATATACTCTTATTATACATTCTCGTGCAGCTATCGCTGATTTGCATCTGCATTTGCAATTGTAACATACACTGTCAAAGATCATCAGGGGTAGATTGTATAGGATGGTTTAAAATTGATGATGATATTCTGACAGTTGCATGATCTTGAATAAGTCCTGTGATGGGTGACTCACATTCCTGTACGTGCCGAAGATGGCACAATCAACATATTTTTCTGTGTTTGTGACTCGTTACACTATATAAGAAAGACAGTTTTTGGACTTCCCTTCAGACTTGGATCACAAATGATGCCAGGAACGAACCTAGGCCTCCAGACCAGCCGTCAATCAGGGAGAACTCAATAGGCAGAGAGCAAGAGACTTATTGGTTTGTTTCCCTTGCTTTTTGACTTTTTATTTACTTTAATAAGTGTTCATATTTAAGTAAATTTGTGCTGTTGACTACATTTAACCAAATCTGAAAAACCATTTGGATACACTTTGTGATCCAAGACAACACTTCATCCATCACTCCATTCCTCTCAGATGCTACAAATCTCAAAGTGTAACCTGAGAAGGTTCAGCCCGAGTCAGAGAAACCACAGCGAATGCCAGACATTACACAACATGGTGCCACCTTGAGAAAGTGGGTTTCTCAATTCAACCACTAACTCAGTGAACTCCATAATGTTGGATCCATAATGGCTGAAGTTACAACCGACCTGTGGTCACCAATTTGGGCTCGGATGCAGTTCTACTAATGACAATTTACCTGACATCACCATCCATCTAATTGCCAATGTGTAACAGCTAATCCTGAGATCAGAACAGCCATTTGTCCTGAGGCTGCAACATTGTGGACTGCAGTAAGGGAATCACATTCCTAGGAAACACCTCCACACTGAGAGGATAAATAAATTACTTATAAGTCAGATGAATAACTTCCTCTTCCTTTTCTGGGCAATGAAACTATTATGAATGAATTGGATAGCGTTACAAAAAATGGGGGTTGCTTTTCATTCTATGCAAAGAATGAAGGTCCATTGCAATGCAGCCTGGGCTCAGTACAGGGCCTTTTCTTGGGTCTGAATTGTAAACATTCTGATTGGATTATTTACATGTTGAACACAAAGTGACCATACTGGGACGAGTGAACCCCAGACAAGCAAGGGAATTTCTGGAAGCCTGGTTCTCAACATGGGAGTCTATTGCCAAACATGTAGAAAGAGACCCCGTATACAGACCGCTGCTAAAACAACAGAACCAGAAGCAACAAGACCATTACACTAGGGGATCACATAAATCAGGAAGGAAGCGAAACCAACGCTACGATTAGAGGTCACACTGATGATGCTGCCTAGAAAGGTAACGAAACATCTGCACACCACAGAACTACCGGGTTGGCGAGCTAACGAACAACTTCATCCACAAACCGAGCTACAAATTTTCGCTAAGACCTTAAAAATGACAAAGTGTCAAATTGGTCTCGAAACATGAATTTTGTTTCTCTCTCCGCAAATGCTGCAGAGTTTCTCCAGCACTTTCTGCTTTTTTATTTCAGATTTCCAAGCGTCTGCAGGACTTTGTTTTATTCTGAGAGCCGGAAACTTACTTGGATTGTGTTTGCTTGGTGATATTCCGAATGGTGGCTCCTTCTTTTCCAATAATGGCTCCCACGAACTGGGTTGGCACCAGGATGCGCAGGGGAATGTCGAACTGCTGCTTTGTGGGTGTTGCTGAGCCTTGCGGCGGGGGTCCTCTGCCGCTGTAGCCCCTGCGGCCCATCTCCTGACCTTGCTGCCCTGCCTGTTCATCTGGGATGTAGGTGACTGTCAGGCTGTAGTTCTCCAGCTGGTAGCCATTCAACTTGGTTATTGCTCTGAGGGAAGGAAATAAAAATCACATTTTTGTTTTTGCCCCAATTTACAAAGAGATCATAATACATTCAGCACGACCTGATACGAGGCTCCTCCCACCACATCTTGCACAATCTGCAAATCCTTCTATTCCTTTCTCTCTGAGCTGATTTCCTTGTTTCACCCAACTCTATTGAGTTTATTCTCTTTAACCACTCACTGTGCTAATGATGTCCACATTCCAATCACTCTCTGGGTTGCCCCCAAATTCCCTCCTGGATTTAGTAATGGCTATTGTATAACTGCTAGTGCTGGTGTCTCTCACAACTGGAAACATCTCCTCGGCATTTACCATTCATATTTTTAAGACCGTCTCAGCCATCTCTTTCCTAGAAATGCAGTTTGCTCTGTCTTTCATTGGCTGCCTCTTGACTCAATGTTGACATCTACTCAGGGTCGTGAGTTTCTGCTCAGCTTCGTCATTTGACTAAACAAGCTGATTCGCGACTCACTGATCTTTGGGAATGTGGGGCAGAATATCCCACAAGGGTAGCTGGATCCAGAGAGGAGGATTTTCTTTCCCTTCTTCCTCATCAGTTGCATCTCAATTTGTGGGGACAAGTTATAGAATTCTTACAGTGTAGAAGCAGGCCATTCAACCCATTGAGTCCATAACAGCCCTCCAAAGAGCATCCCACCCCTGTTACCCTGAATTTCCCATGGCTAGTCCACCTAACTTACACATCTATGGGTAATTTAGCATGGCCAATCCACCTAGCGCACACTGTGGACTGTAGGGGGGCAAGCCGAGCATCAGGAGGAAACCCACGCAGACACGGGGAGAATGTGCAAACTCCTCACAGACAGGTGCCCGAGGGTGGAATCGAACCCGGGTCCCTGGCACTTTGAGGCAGCAGTGCTAACCACTGAGCCACCGTGCTGATCCCATTCTTGCAGATATTAGGTCAATGGTGCCATGCTTCGAGGATAGTTTCAGAGAGCCTTCAAAGTGTTTTCTTTCAGCTCAGAATGTTGGCCATTTGACAGTTGAGAGAGCTGGACATAAACAGGAGAGGTGTTTTTTGACATAATGTCCAGTGCATCAGAGATAATTTGTTATCTAGATTCTTGTGCACTTCCCTTTTTTCAAAGTTCATCATAATGGATCTGGAAGATGTGTTGGAGGCATTACTGAGTATATTACTTGAATGCTTTAACGTGTCTCCCAGAAACTCTTTGAAGGTCAATTCACCACTAAAAGTTTCCACCACTAGGTGGGGCAGTCCATGGAGATGCAGCTTACCAGGCTGCTTTGGTAATATATAGTTTAATTCAACCTGTTTTGGAGATGTTATTACATACTTCAGGAGAAGGCAGGATTTGGACCTCGACCTCCTGGCTCAGAGGTAAGGTCACTACCAGTGCACCTCAACAACCCTTCCTGTTTATAAAGACAAATGATTAAATCCACAATGGAAGCCTAGACTGCTGGAATGAGACATCTCATTGCCAGACCAGTTTATTCAATTAGCCCCCTCAACTTTCAGCTTGAAAAGGACTTCAAATTGCAAACTGATCAAGGGGTAAGCGGGCAACTGTATCTGAAAGCTCTGTGAGTAATGCCTACTCTTAAACAATCTGATTTAGAGATAGACAACAAAAAAGATGAACAACAGAAAGGAAAGGAAATAGGATGAATTAAAATAAAATTTGAAACAGAGATGGAAAGAAAGATTCAACTAAGAAAGAGGGCATAAAAGAAAAAAGTAACTAAACAAAATGCCTAGGAATGATTTACTACCTGTCAGAATGAGACGTCACTGTTCAGTCATTCCCTTTCTGGACCAAAGAGATTGTGTGGAATTGCATGCATATTGGTCTTGTCATTACAATAGTCCTTAAGACGTTTCAGCCCTAACTTTTCAACAATTCATTGTAATAGTCTAAATGGGGCAATTCCTGCAGGTTAAAGATGAGCTCCCATTTTTGAGACTGTTGGCAATACTCCCAACAATCTTGACAATTCCCAACTCATACCCCTATAATCTCCCCCATGACAAATTATTGTATCACTTTTCCAACAAACTAATAACAGCCAATCTGCTGAACAGACTTTTACAGCACCCGGTTTTCTGTGCTAATGACTGCTGCTCTGCAGTTGACCTTCATGTTAGCATTTGTTAATCCTCAAGGATTGCCCAGGGATCATGAATTAATCTCCCAAACGCTGCTGGGAACAACATCCAGGAGAAATATCATCAGAATTTTTAAAAAATGTTTTCAAAAAAAAAGTTTCAATGAACACCTCTGTTTGTTAATCACCAAAATATAAGGTATGGAGTGGGCGTTGAAGGTGTGTACAAAAGCACTATTAATTACAGACAGCTCAATCGTGTAATTACATGCCTCTGACTGCTTTTCAATTGGCCGTGAGCGACGGGATGAGAGGATGGGCATGTCAGACAACCAATAGGAGGAGAGCGAAGGTGGGATGGTCGGTGGGACAGGTCTCATGATGAAATGCCTTATCACCCCCATGGTTGACCACCAAACCAGTGGCAATTCTCTGCAGCCAACACCCCAGAGCCATTTCTTTGAATGATCATCTGGAAGCAAAGTGGCAGCTGACCACAGCACAGATAGATTCTGTTTATTACCATTTGATCTGGCTGTGGCTGGATTAACCTTCAGATGGTTTGGGCTCCATGGGCTGTGGATTTGCTGACCTGGACAATGGTGAGGTCCAAGTGCAGGACCCTCCCAATCCCATCCCAAAATGTTGGGTTTCAGGGATCTCAGGTCCATAGAAAGGGTTCAGAGCAGATTTACCAGAATCATACTAGGGAAGTTGGACTCCAGTCACAAGAAGCTTGGATGGTCTCTTCTGTGCAGAAAAGTTTAAGGGGAGATTTAAGTGAGATATTCAAAATTATGAAATTTTGATGGAGTAAATTAAGAGAAACTGTTTCCAGAAAGTGTTCCTGTTGGACAGTTGGTAAGCAGAGAATTTAACTTAAATTCCATTCAAATAAAATTTAAAGTATGGTAATTGGCAAAATATTTAGAGTGTATTAAGGATATTAACAATCAGATCATCTGTGATTGTATTGATATTAATAATAATGTTAATAAAGATGGAGCAAAAGGCCTCCTTAAGATCAATTGGTGGAGCAGGACACAAGGGGCTAAGTGGCACTCATTCATATGGTCTGATGTTATTTTTTGAAATGCAATGAGTTGTTAGATTTGAAAATTCACTGCCTAAAGGGTTAGTGGAAGCAGATTCAGTCATAACTTTCCAAAGAGCGATGGTTAAATACTCAAAAGAGGAAAAAAATTGGAGGGCTATGTGGAAAGAACAGAGGAGTGAGAATGATTGAATAACTTTTTCAGAAAGCCAGCACAGGTGGGATGGGTTGAATGGTCTCCTTCTGTGCTGTATCATTTTGTGGTACTTACTGTCTGGCTTGGTCCTTGGTTCCATATGTAACATTCACCACTGCCGATTCAGTTTCTGTATTAACTAGAGATAAAAAATAAGGTAAATGTCAGTCAAGACTCTTCCATTACCTCAAGAGGTCTGTCTTAAAGCATCACAGACCTCCCTATAAACAGCACAAAGCCCCCACACCAACTTTCAGACAAGACATTTAATTGACAGTGGTCTGCTCTAACATTAAATATATTTTAACGAAGAGCAGAGTGTTCTCCCTCGTAACCTGGCCACTATTCATCCCTGACTTAATATCACAAAAATACATATTATGTGGCCATTTATCACAGTGCTGTTTGTGGGAGCTTCCTGTGTACAAACTGGTTGCTGTGTTTCTAACATTAGTAATGACACTTCAAAAAAGTACTTTACTGGCTGTATGTAGATGTGTTATATCAGCGTGTATCTTATCAAAATGTTAAACCGATTTCCCTCCTCTTCCTGATAGCTCGAATTCAGACAGGTTGCACTGTTAACTCATTCAGATCGGCTCAGATTTCTTATCAAAGGTGGGAATTTTCCCTTCTCTTCATTCAACTCAATGTTGGTATTTCTGGATCTTTGCCAGTTCCGGGTTCAGTGGCTTGTGGTTAGGATCTGGCTCCAGGTTCGATGAGCTACAGTCAGCCTGGGTCGAAGCCAGAAAATTGGTTAGTTGACTTTGATACTTGTTCCTGGGTTGCAATCAAGTATCTCAGCGACTGAACTCAACCAGCTGCTTTCTCCAGTGCAGCCGTGATTAATACAACATAGAGACCAAGTAAACGATGTTGTGTTTACATGCCATTGGTACCTGGGGCAGAAAATGCCTTGTGTGGGGGTATCGCTGCGACGTAGCTCCTGCACTCTGTACATCTTCAAGCTTCTGATTACTGTCCCTGCAGCTGAGCAAGTGCTTAGATGTTGGTCGAACATGTGATCATTCTGAACCATCATAGTTCCACATTTGAAGACCCACCCGAGGGACAATCCTAACCTTTATCCGCTTGTCAGGAGACTGCTGGGATCGGGTTATAAACTCTGCTTTTATTGCTCATTGCAAATCATTAATAATTTAATATTGGGTGGTGTGTAAACCAGCATTTTAACCAATTCCATTACCATCTTGTCTGGTGAGTTAGGCAAAGATCATGCCCCATCATCCCCGAGCAATCATCTCGGCTCACGCAGAGAGCATGAGTCAACTACTGAAGAACAGCTAACAATTCCCACTCAGCAAGAAGTCACAACGTTCAATCCGTGTGGGATTAGAGGAAGGGAAAAGAATTCACCTGCTGGAGATTGAGTGCTAAAGCTGGAATCAAAGTAGACGTGTTTGGATACAGAGAAACAAGACAGAGAGTGGGGACAGGATTTTAAATCACTGACTGTAAGACACCTCCTTCATGCCATAATAACTTTACAACAATGGGGGGGGGTAGACAGGACTATGTTTGGGAGGTTTATTATTTAGATATCTCAGCTCTGGGGAAGAAGCAAAATTATCTCTAGCTAATATTGGAAAATATGGAAATCTCATTAACGTTTTAAGCATCAGTAGAAAGAATTTGAGTGGTTATGTTAAACTTTATTGTATCAGGCAAACAGAAATTTGGTGGACTTTGTCCACCTTGTATGTGGTGCTCAGTAACAGATTATATTTACAGCAGGAACAAAAACAGAAGTCGCTGGAAAATCTCATCAGCTCAGAACCGTTCTGAGGAAGGGTCACCGGATCTGAAATGTTAACTCTGATGTTTCTTCACACTGGCTTCCAGACCTGCTGAGTTTTTCTAGCAACTTCTGTTTTTGTTCCTGGTTTATAGCATCGGCAGTTCTTTCGGTTTATATTTATGGGCAGTCTGTTTTTCTATTCAGCCACATCTCCCACACACAGAAGATACTGACAATTAACAGATTGAACCGTCCATGAGCACCCCATGTCCCTGGTGTCTTGCCCAAATGTTTGTACTTAACACAGAGTTGCCGACAGTTTGAACGTTGGTATTAATTTTGCAAAACTTCCTAGAGTTGGGATCTTTCCATTTGATTGGAAAATAGCAACTGCGACTCCTTTATGCAAACATGATTTCTCTTTCACAAAACACGTGACTCTGCCTAATTACCCTGAATGTATTTAAATGCCGTGCTACAACACTTTTAATAATAACTTCTAATTTTTTTTCTCCATGACACATCTTAAGTTAACTGGCCTGTAGTTTCTGGTCTCTTCCTTTTTGTATAAAAATCCAGTTTAGGAGGATAAAATACTCCCTGACCCAAACATATAAAGGTCCTGAGGGACTGTGACAACCTGCAGAAAGAAAGGATGTGTCCTGTTGTGGGAGAATCTAGAACCACGGCTTGCAGTTTAAAAACAAAAAATCACCCATTTAAGACAGGAGATGAGGAGAAATTATTTTCTGAGAGCATTCAGGGTGTTTGGAAATCTCTTTGTCCAATGATACAGGCAGCAGAGCCTTTAGGTATTTTTAATGTAGAAGTGGTAGCTTCTTGACAAGAAAGGGGGTCAAAGATTGTCAGGTGTAAGTGGAAATGTGCATTCATCAGAATCAACCATGATCTTACCGAGCAGAGGATCAGTCTCAAGGGGCTGAGTGGAAATTTGGATGTTCCTAACAGTTGGCTCTGATCTCTCTCTCACTCACTCTCACGCACACACACAGAGAGACACACATAAACAACACACTCACTCACTTGCACGCACACACACTCACTCACACACACACCCCCCCAAATTCAGACTGAAATTCAGTCACTCACATCCATTCAAAGACACACCTACATTTGTATGCACAGCCACACTGACACACATTGCAGCATAGTCACATTTGTACACCAGCCATCATTTCATATACAGCCATACACTTACACACACATACACTTACAGCTGCACCCTCACTCACTGCCACACTTATACACACTCTTGCACTCACAGCTACACACCCACACCCACTCACTCACACACAGCCACTGACACACACAGGAAGAATACAGACACAAAACCATATTTAGAAATAAAGATAGGTGCACTGTTATATGAACACACTACATATAGGCATATATGCACACACAGACTGGACTCACTTTTCCAAAGAAGGGAATAGCCCTGAAAGGGTGGGAGCCTTGCTGCTTTGCCTCTCTGTTTGCAAACATATGAAGCCAATTGAAATGCCTCTCATCTGAGAGCATATGAACCTGGCCAAGCTCAGGATTCAACCTGATTAATTCAGTCACACTGTAGGAGGTGCACTCCATCTCTGAAACTGCAGGGGGTCGGGGTGAAATGAAGAGAGAGTGTGTCTGAGCTGAGGCATCTTACCAAGAGAGAAAAGGACACAAATGTGTTCAGCTCTTCAGTGACCTCATTATCCAGTCGTTATTTATTATTAACCTGGACTCTGAGTTTGAGATCAGGACCAGCAGCTGAAAAACAGGGCTGAGTGTGGATGGTGGGATCATTGTTTCATGTTAAGGGAAATGATCACATACCTTGTTCGCAATTTTCCACAGCTCCGTGTTGGGCTAGCAATCCATCCAATACCTGTTCAATAGACACACCAGCAGTTAGTTAGAGTGAAGGCAAGAGAAAGGTAACCAATTGCACCCCCAAAACCCTGTTAGAAACATCACAATTTCCAAGCTGCAGGATGACATTCGGTCCATCATTGCCTGTACTAGCTCTTTGAAATGAATTCAGCCAAAGTATGTGTCTGTCTGTTTTGTATATCTGTATATCTCTGTGTGTGTTTGTGTGCGTGCATGTGCTCGTGTGTGTGTGTGTACGAGTGAGTGTGTGCACGTGTGTGTATTTGAGTGAGTATGTGTACGTGTGTGTATATGAGTGAGTGTGTGCATGGGTGTGTATACAAGTGAGTGTGTGCGTGTGTGTGTGTATACGAGTGAGTGTGCGCATGTGTGTGTACGTATACGAGTGAGTGTGTGTGTGTGTATATGAGCGAGTGTGTGGATGTATGTGTGTGCGTATATGAATGAGTGCGCGCGCATGCGTGTGTGTATACGGTGAGTGTGTGTGCGCACATGTGCGTGTGTGAGTGCACGAGTGTGTGCATGTGTGTGTGCATATTTCCACAAGTGCGTGCTCCGCGTGTGTGTGTGTATACGAATGAGTGTGCTTGTGCACACGTGTGCGCCGCATGTGTGTATATACAAATGAGTGTGTGTGTACCTGTGTGCGTGTGCATGTGTGCGTGTGTATGTGTGGGTGGAAGGTAACAGCAGCTCAACATTATGCAGGGTGACAAAGCCTCAGAGTAATTATGTGTCTGTATATTTATTACAGTTGAGCATCCTTCAGGGGTGCGCATGTGTATACAGAGGGTGGGGGAGAGAGAGAGTGGGTGGCACATCCAGGATGGACTGTGCCCACTGGGTGGTGGGAGGAGGTTGATTGTGGTTTTGGCTGTCCCAGTGAGGGACACTGTTTGCAAAGTTATCAATGAGTGTGAGCCCAAGGGCAGCCCATTGAGTGAAACAAATGCATGACTTGCTTCTCAAGTTTTAAGGGAAGAGTGCGGCAACATATGGTCAATGTGGAAGATACTTGTCATAATCAGGCTCAGGTCTGTCAGTGTAACCTCTGTAACAGACAATACGATCGGCTCAATTCACAGCATTTAATCATTGTTCACGACCTGGCTTCTGTGAGCTGAAGCCTGGGGTTTATGTTGTTAATTCCTTTGTCCCAAAAAATAGAAAGTACAGCAGCCATGCAGCCTGTGAGAAAAGGAAAAGACAGGTTCTGCTAGTTTGAGGCATGACCCCCTACCCCTCCCGAACAACAGAAATAGAAACTACGCACATTTAATTCTGCCATAGCAAAGAGAGAAATTGCTGGAGAAACTCAGCAGGTTTGGCAGCATCTGTGGGAAGAAAGCCGAGTTAAGATTTCAAGTCCAGTGCCATTCATCAGAACTGGACAGAACTGATGAAGAATCACTAGACTGGAAAGGTTTCTCTCCACAGATGTTGCCTGACTTGCTGAGTTTCTTCAGCAATTTCTATTTTTGTTTTAGATCTTCAGCATCCACAGTTCTTTGTTTTATTTGATTAATTTGTGGCATGTTCACCCAGTCCCTGGAGCCTCCTCCATCTCTATAATGCTCTAAGATCATGGAACATCTGGCCTTTCAATGATCAGCAAGTGCCATCGGTGTGTGTGCCTCAGCTTAAGACCCTGAGCTCTGAGATGTTCTCCCGAAACCTCTCCACCTCTCAATACGCTATTCCTCACAGGTTACCTCTTGTGGTCCCCTGATCGAGTATCCCCCCCAGTGTGATTCAGTATCAAATTCTGTTTGAAAACACTCTTGAGAAGCACTTTGGGAAGATTCGTGACATTAAAGGCACTATATAAATACAAGTTATTGTCACGGGTTCAACATTTTAGCAACAGCAGAAGAATAGAAGAAAGGGAAACAACAATCACAGAGAGGGAGTTAATTGAAGAATGGCCCAATTTTAGGGCCAGGCATTATACCCGTATAGAGCAATGCCTCAGCTTTATCAAAGTAATGGACAAACTACCTTTGCCTGTGGCATCTCCACAGGCAGCTATACCCATCTGTGTAATCCAATTTTCTTCTGAATTCAAAAATAAGAATTACTAAGTTTTGCCTATTCCATAGAGTTTCTGGTCAATTACTGGTCTGAATCCAGGTAAAACTGTGATCAGCAGGCCCTGGGGCTTGCTTCATTCCTCTGGTTTAAAATAGGCCGTTACACCCTTCATTTTAATATTAACTAAACTGATAGCTTTTCTTTTAAGTTGCTGCTAGGGATGTCTGAGGTAGCACCCTTGATCTGCTAAAAAAATGTACTTCCTTGTATCTATTAGATCCCCTTTAAAAAAGGAGTGACAAGATCTAAATAGCTGGTCATGTTCTGATTGATCAACCCCTACACCAGCCCCACCCTTTCCAGGAACTACATTCCAATATTTACCTCACAGGCACAACTCCACCTTTTCATCGATAGCTAGCTTCACCAAATTAGTATTGCCTGTGTTTTTCCCTTGAGCTCTAATCTTCCTTGGTTCCATCCAAAGGTTCCTAGAACTCCTCCTTATAGCCCTTATAACATAGAACTATTCAACTATTCTTGAGACTACTTCCTGAGCCCCAGCAGACAGCACCGGTATAGTTTAGTCACCATTAGCCCAGCTAAACACACAGTCTAACACATACACACACAAACACACACACACACAGTCTATCTCCAATAGCTTATGTACTTTGAACTACTACTCTGTGCTCCTTGGACTATTTTCTGTCATCTATTGAAAACCTCAGAATAACCTTGTTATTCGGCATGTCTGAATGTGGCCAACTGACAACCATTGGAAAAACCCAACTGTCTGAATGTTATATTTCAGAGATTGTGGGCTCCTGCATGAATCAAATGGGTACAACAAGAAAGAGGAATTCATCACACTTTCTTAATGTAAAACAGCTCAATGTTATAAAATATTGTCAGGGAGGCATGACATTGCCAGTACACAGTGTGCAGATGGGCAAAGACAGCTTGGTGTAGCAAAAGCAAGAGTTATTCTTCTAGATCACAAATGAAATAGCCCCAGTAATAACAGGAAGTCTTTGTCAATTAAAACACATTCCCCAGCACTATCCAACGCATCATCCTCCGACACTTCCGCCATCTGCAATCCGACCCCACCACCAAAGGCATCTTTCCCTCCCCACCTTTATCTGCTTTCCGGAGGGACAACTCTC